TTTGTTCGGATCTTCCAAGCTGCGGTAGTCAACTTGTGTGACAGCAGCTCAATAGGTGTATGTATTCATCTTATATCTTGTTGGAACAGTTGCCTTTATTGGAAAATCATGACAATTGAAAATTCGCAAGTATTCAGAAAGTGCTCCATCTGCAAAACGTTTTCGTGGAGATGCCGCAGAAGCAGGATCATCAACTGAGAGCGCCCAGGCCTTATTGTATAGGACCGAATGTGAGCTACAGGTGGGAGCTCTTCAAAAAAGGTTTAGCCCATTTTAATCATAGTATGCAGACGCGGCAAGCAAGTATATTGGATCGATTTGAAGCATTCATGGATAGACTGGAAAGAATCAGTATGTGTCTTCCGCAACTCCAAGAGCCTGTTCAGCAAGTAAGTGTTAATCGAAAGTTCTCAGACACTCGTGTGTTAGCGAAATGCCTTTCAAGGTATGGTTAGATGAATCCGCGCACGACGATGAAGTAGCCCACGAAGAGGAAATCATTTTGGATGGCACCTACAATGAAGATTTCGTATCTCATCTTCCTTGAATCAGTATAGTATAAAGTTATGAAGAGGTGTAAATTATGCATTATCAAACAAATTAATAATTATATCTGTCCCACTGGGCTTGAAAAATCCTTCAATACGGCTGTCCATATCCATATGTTGACAGCATGCATATGCTCTCAGTTTTAGAACAATCAGTCCTGCTCGTAAATAGTAGCGGTAGCGATAAACAGATAAGGATTTGAATTGACACTCTAAGCAGTTTCTTTAGAGAAAAGTGGTGAGTTCAAGGGATGATCATAGACCAGCAGATTCATAATAAATTAATGGGGATAGCAGTTTCCTGCCAATGAGGATCAAATATTTATATTGTTGATAACGAATGAAGCAAACAAACTTAAGAATAACAAAAACTTCTGTGCAAGCTAATAAGTTACTATCTTGATTTTTCGTTTTTAATTGGTTATTCACTTTCATTGTTTCTCCTATTCTCATTTTTTCCCTTTCGTTTCGTGCAGGTAAAGTTTTCTATATTTTTATCTTTGTTCTATTCTCTCTTTGTAATCCGCTTTCAAGCACATGGGAATTCCGCAAAAATTTCATTGAACTGCAATTGCAAGAGGGCAAACGATATTGCAATCAGAATCTCTCTTCTTCTATAACGTAACTTCAAATTAGTTCTTGTTCCTTTCTTCACAAATAAGGATGAACGCAAAAATTGTAAAGATCAGGCTGATATGTGCAACTTATTTGAGACTTGGCCTTTCGTAATAGTCAACGAAGTCTACATAAAGAACACACAATTTGCAAATGTAAAATTCGTTGCACTGATGGCCGAGTGGTCTAAGACGCCAGACTCAAGCATACACTTGCCGAGAGGTAGCGGTTGGGCGTTCTGGTACTCGTCAGGGTGCGTGGGTTCAAATCCCACTCCGTGCAAAGTTTTGCAC